CTCTTGCTCAGGCTAGTCTCGAACTCCTGAGCGCAAGCAATCCTCCCACCTCAGCCTCCCAGAGTGCTAGGATTACAGGCATGAGCCATTGTGCCCAGCCTGTAGCTTTATTTTAATCTTAAATTTGAGTAATATGATTCCTTCCACTTTATTCTTTTCAAAATTGTTTTAGTTATCCCAGGGCCTTTTTATTTCCATATAAATTTTAAAATCATCTTGTCTGTATCTATAAAAAAATTCTGTTGAGATTTTGATTAGTGTTACATTAAATCTATAAATCAATTTAAGGAGAACTGACTTCTTTACTATGTTGTCTTCTAATTCATAAACACAGTATGTCTCTCCATTTACTCATGTCTTCTTTGACTTCTTTCATGAAATTGAGATGACCTGTGATTTTATTTGGACCAACTATTTGCAAGAAGGTTCTATATTAGGGGATCAGCCAAGAAAGTGTCCTAAACTAGCTGGTTTTCACAACACAAAAGCTCTCTTCAGCCACTACAAGGATATATTATTAAGTATGTCCTACAGATATGGCTTGTTTATGGGGTTCTTGGTGTGCCTTCTCCCTTAACCAGGCCTACCTATGTCCAGGTGGAACTTCTGCAGTCATAAAACTCAACCTTGTTTCCACACCCTCTTTGGCAGACCAGGACACCAAGTCCCACCCCCACTCTCATGTATATTTTTCTTGGTGCTCTCTGAGATCTACACCTGTTGGCCTCTCTCCTCTACTTACTCCCAGGTGGCTCCTGCATAAACACAACAATTATCGACAACCTTTAAAAATATACTGAAGTGTGTTTCCAAGTGCTGCTAAAAGCAAAGTGAAGAGTTTTATTTTCTGTTTTCCTTTGTTGATTCTGAATGACTTCCAGGAAAAGAAGGGAAGAATGCTGAGTTTTTGAAGCCATATTGTATGGTACATTTCTTTTTGGTAAAGGAGTTAAGAAAATGCCTGGGATGGGATGGAGGCTGTTGGTAACTACAGACAGAAGACATGCTTCTAGTAATGAAGAAGATGGCACCGAAAAGGAGACAAGCGTCAAAAACTAAGACAAGTAACTGATCTGTTCTGAGTTCATTCTCTATCATCGGAGCTCTAGTAGGTAACAACAGGCAGCTTATGTAGGACTGTGTTGAGCCCTGTGGTGAAGCATGAGTTATTAGCAGCCGTCAAATGTGGCTTCCCTGTCAGAATCCCGTGTGAAGAGCTCTCCAGGGACTGAAATGGAGAGGTAATGGCACCACTGATTTAGCTGTTCTCATCACTGGGCAGCAGCAGTACTATGTAATCAGATAGTTTGCCCTCCAAATAATGACAGAATGATAATTTAATTCCCTTTATTTAGGGTGGTTAGGAAAAAATAACTTGATTTATAGATTTATCATTTTACATGACAAAGAGACCCAATTTTCAAAAACTTGCATAAAATATACAATATTTTAATTCTATTAGTATTCAGCTGAGTACTGTTTGGTGACCTGGAAAATATTTCCAGACGCCAAAGTCTCTTTGAGTCATACTTAATGTACAAAAAAAATTCTGTTTCTTTGACCTTTCTGGAAAGCTCTTTGTGAACATGTACCCCCTTTTTACTCAAGCCCAGGTTTCTTAGGTGGATCAAGCTGAACACAAATTTTGTGGAGGCAGAGATGCCCAGATCACCAGCTTAAACAGGCACTTTGCTCACCTTATTGTGAATCCAGAGGGCAGGAGGGTGATTCGTATATTTCACTGCCAATTCTATCATTCTCTCTTGTTCTAGCAGTCTTGGGCTGGAGCATATTGAAAATCCACCAACCACAGAGACTCCTGGGATAAAGAAATCAACCCTAAAAGGAAAGACAAATAAATGATTATTGTTGAAACTATTTTAAAAATAGGCAGCAAGATAAACAAAACTGACACATCT